GATAACGATAAAAAAGCAGCATGGCCTGAGAAAATTCCATTCTTTCCGGCCCAATATCTATACATTACCGAAGAGATCTTGGAAGAAAAACCCGATCCTAATCTAAAGAAATACGAACGTTATTTAAATGGTTCATTATATAATAATGAAGACGACTCGTCTGAGTGGGTGAATGAAAAATATGAAAAATCTTGTCTGCCAAAGGGTGTTGACAAAGCTTTTAGAAAATTTTCGGATCGTGTATCCGAATGGCCTGATCAATGCATTAGGTATGTAATATTAATATTAATAACCCCTTATTGCAAAGGAATTAACATAATGTTTCGGAAAACATAAGTTTAACATTCTTGCGTTCGCTAATATAATTCGTTAAAGGTATGAATTTGATGGCCAACCACTTTTATATAATCAAAGTGATTCAGCAGCTTCATTATTACTATCATCATCACATGAATCGAATAAACAGCTCAAAGTAAATACACAGAGATTACCGAAATGCCCAAAATGTGGCTCCAAAAGAGTTTTTGAATTCCAATTAATGCCAAGTTTGTTATGCATACTTCCAACTGGAGAATATGCGACTAATAATTCTAAAAATAAAAATGAGATAGGAGGTAGTAAATGTGGAATTGCACAATTTGATGTTGGAATGGAATGGGGAACAGTAATGATTTTCACATGTCAAAATGATTGTGAAATATACAATGTTAATAAGGATGAAGTATCTTATTACGAAGAATTTGTTTTAGTACAATATGAATTGTAGAAAAAATTGAAACTAATGAAAACTGAGAAAATAATATAATTAGTTAAAATGTTATATGTCCATTAATCATTGTTAATGTTTTTACATAGCCCTTATAATCCATCCGCTTTCAAAGAAAATGAATACTGTATTTGAGGTTCTTGGCTAAGCCGATTTTTCGCTATCGGTCGATTTTGTTAAAATCGGTTTGATCGATTTTATTAAATAGAAATAACAGAAAAAATGTTTAGTAAATCTAGCTTTTTGTTTGCATAGTTTTATTTGCGCTCACAATGGCAGGTGGCGAGTAGTTTTTGATTGCCTCCTCTTCTAATTTTTGAACCATATCTGAACACTTCAACACTTCACTTTCCTCAAGTGTGTACGTATGGTTAGAGCTGTTATTGTATCTTTCAATTTGAACCTTTTGTCTTTCAACAAAATGTAATATCCGAATTTTGCAGAGTACAAATTAGGGGAACAGATTTTTGTTCAAGAGGGTTATCTTCTTTCCGACCGCTTAAATAGTTATGTTTCATAAGACGACATGCAAAAGTCTATATTTTTTATAACTAAGCCTAATCCAAATGTTCGAAACAAACAGCCACCATTCTTAATCAAAATCATGCATTGAAACTTCAAATAGTTCAACATTGAAAAGAAGTACACGTCTTTTATTAGCGGCCTCTCTGTTTTCCTCGAACATAGTATTTCTGTTTTCTTCAAATGTGACTTCACCTTCTTCAGATGTAGTTTTTCCATTTTTTTCATATACGACACTCTACTTTTCCTCAGGCATGATATTCTCCTTTTCCTCAAGTATGACCTCCTCTCTTTTTACAAATATACCTTCTTCATTTTCTACCAA